TATTAGGTAATGGATAGCTGTCTTTGACTGTTACACCATTCACTTTCCTAAAATCCATACAGTACCTTAATTTCCCATCATTTTTAGGAACTAATACAACTGGAGATACATACAGACTACTACTGTCCTCTGTTACTCCTTGTTCAAACATCTCTTTTACTGCTATTGACATATCTATTTGTTCTCCTTTGCTTTTTTTCTCATTTTTCTTGAAAGGTTGATAGTGACCGACAAGGCATTGATAATTTTCCCACTGTTTTTAGGGAGACTGGCTGTGGTCGTTGCCACTCGATCTGAGTGCCATGGTAGAAGTTGGAGTGGGCTCACTGGCTCTCATTTACTGCTTTCTTGGAACTTGATCCTGCTGTCATTAGTCTTCCACCTATTAACGACTGCATGGAGGCAGTAACTAATTGTATAATTAAAGCAACTGTTCATTTTATCCCCAAAACCTCAACACATTTCCCACAGTATTTTTTTTCATCCATGGTGGTCTCCTGCAGGCTAGCAGGCATGGCTAGCATCATGATCCGTAATGATAGTGAACTTCCTATCATAAAGGTAACAACGGAAAGTTTTAGTTCCATGCACTACAACTAAGCATTCCTGCTCTGTGACTGAATAATTGAATTCAGCTTTTCCTAACTGTCTACTCTGATAGACTATAGGGTGTTCTCTTCCATTCTCATCTAACTGAGATAATACTGCACCTATAGCAAAACCTGATGCATCTGTGCTTAGAATAAATTCTCTACTAAAATCTGGGTAGCTTAGAATTGGTGCTTTTAATAAAGCATCTCTTAGTTTCTTGAATGCCTCTTGCATTTTAATTGTCCACTGAAATTTTATATTTTTCATAGCTAGCTCAGTTAATGGTTTCGCTAGCAATGCAAAATGGGGTATAAACCTTCTATAAAATCCTACAAATCCTAAAAATGTATGGATGTCCTTCACTGTTTCAGGCACTGGATAGTTTTTACAAACTTTTTGGGTCAGGTTTTACACCATCTGTGATTATACCAAATGACCTAAGTATTCTACTTCTGTTTTCAAGAATTTACATTAACTGGACTTCAATTTTAAATTTGCTTCTTGAAACCTATCAAATACATGCCTTAACCTTTCCAAGTTTTCTTCAAAACTTGCAGCGAACACTATGACATCATCTCAATAACAAAAACATTCTGATTCTTGCAATCTGGACAATACCGCATCCATTAATATCTGGAATCTTGAAGGGGCATTGCGTAAACCAAATGGCATTCTATTAAACTGGTATTTACCTGAAGGTAACACAAAAGCAGTTTTAGCTTTATCCTCTTTTTTCTATTTCTACTTGCCAATAACCAATTTGCAAATCCACAGAAGAGAAATATTTGCTCTTACCTAACCTATCTAAGGTTTCTTGGATATAAGGTAATGGGTAAATGTCCTTGACTGTTACTCTGTTCACTTTCCTAAAATCCATACAAAACCTCAATTTTCAGTCCTTCTTAGGAACTAATACAACTGGAGTTGCATGCAGACTACTACTGTCCTCTATCACTTCTTGTTCAAGCATCTCTTTTTACAAACTTTTTTAACTCTACCCTGTGCTTCTCTGGCACTCTATAGGGTCTCTGTGTTTAATTTTATTGGGAGATCAGTGCTTTTGTATTTTGATGGTTGATTCTTAGCCTCACTAATATTAGCATTAGGCATCTGACTATTAGCTTTAGTCAGTGAGAAGGTATCATTTGTCTAACTTTTGCACATAAGTCTGATGGTACTCCTTCTTCAAAACTTAAGATCTCCATTTCTATGTGCAGTTTACCAGAAGTAGGAGATATTTCAGTGTCATAAACCCTTAAGAAATCCTTCCCTATAATACCATCTGTTTCTATCTGTAGTCTATCTGCTATGTAAAATAAGTTTTCTATCTCTAACTTTCCTACTCTCATC